TTATTTATTTATTTATTTATTTATTTATTTATTTATTTATTTATTTATTTATTTATTTATTTATTTATTTATTTATTTATTTATACAAAGAATAAGGAGATAAGTTCATTGGATAGGGAAGGGATATTATCTTTATTTAATTCATTAAGTGTCTCCTCTATAGGGAAGTGTCCCCTTAATTCGTCTGCTGCTGCTGCTGCTGCTGCTGCTGCTGCTGCTGGCCATGGTAGAGGTCCCCATACTCTGTCTCCTATAGAGTGGGCAGCAGCAGCAGCAGCAGCAAAGAAGATAATGAATACATTAGGTCCTGCAGAGTTGCTGCTGCTGCTGCGTTGCATGCATGCAACAGGATTAAGAGATAGGGAGCTGCAACGTATGCTGCATGCAAGACTGCAGCAGCTACCTGCTGCTGCATTTGCTGCAGCAGAAGTACGTGATTTGCTGCGTCTGCTGCAGCAATGTAACTTCCGCAGTGTACGTACACTGCAGCATCTTGCTGCTGCCTTCTTATGCAGTGTACATGCAGCTACTCCTTCTTGCTGCAGGGAATTAATTGTCTCCTTCTCTAGGTTGCATGTCCCCCTAGATGCTCCTGCTGCTGCTCCTGCTGCATACTCCTTCTTGCTGCAGGGAATTAATTGTCTCCTTCTCTAGGTTGCATGTCCCCCTAGATGCTCCTGCTGCTGCTCCTGCTGCTGCTCCTGCTGCTGCTGCTCCTGCTGCTGCAGGAGCAGTAGGAGGAGGAGGAGGAGGAGTAGGAGTAGGAAGAAGAGCATTTGCTGCTGCAGTGCAGCGGCTGCTGCAGCAGAAGGATTTGCTGCAGCCTAAGGATATAGCATTAACTCTTAATAGTGCAGTTAGGTGTAGATACACCTCAGCACTGCAGCAGCTTGCTGCTGCTGCTGCAGCAGCAATTATACCACGTATTGCTGCTAAGATGTCTCCTATGCTGCTGTCTCTTACTGCTCATTCTCTTGCTGCTGCAGCACAAGGGAATATGCATGCATTAGCAGCAATAGAGGCAGCAGCGCTGCAGCAATCAGGTGTATGGACACCTCATGATGTATCTCTTCTTGTTAATTCCTTTATTAAGCTACAATACCCAAGACAAGATCTATTTACTGCTGCAGCTAAGCATGTACAATCATTTACACCAGCAGCAGCAGCAGCAGCAGCAACAGCAGCAGCAGCAGCAGCAGCAGCAGGAGTAGAAGCAGAAAAAGTAACGTCTCTAAATATGTGTCTAATATTTTTTTATGTTTGTTATGTGTCCCTAAACCCTAAACCCTAAACCCTAAACCCTAAACCCTAATTGTGTGTATTTGTGTATATGTGTGTACAGGCTACTGCATGCATAGATGAATACAGCTGTCAACATTTAAATATGTTGCTGCATGCATTAGCAGCAGCAGGAGTGTCTCCTTCTTCTTCTTTTCTTGCTGCTGTCTCCTCTAGGGTGTATAAGTGTCTCCGTATATTTAAGGGTAAAGAAATAAGTCTTATTATTCTTTCTTTATCTAAATTGGGGTGTACAGACACCTCATTAATGCATGCATTAGCTGATGAAGTTCTTTATAGACTAACAGCAGCAGCATCACCAACAGCAGCAGCAGCAGCAGCAACAGCAGCAGCAGCAGGGAGGAAATCCTCCTCCTTGTCCCTCCTAGATATACAACATATAGCTAAGGGTCTTATTAATATGCGGTGTATAGACCCTCGCTTATTTGCTGTATTAAGGGAGGCAGCAAAGGATAGACTGCAGCAGCAAGTGTCTCCTAAAGCAGCAGCAGCAGCAGCAGCAGCAGCAGCAGCAGCAGTAGGGGATAGTAATGGTGTCTCTACCCACCTGTCTCCTGATTCTCTTGCTTATTTAGCGCATGCAGTTGCTGCAGCAAATGCAGGGGATAAGGAGTTTGCTGCTATAATAGAGAGACTGGCGCTGCAGTACCTGCAGCAGGAACCGCAGCAGCAGCAGCAGCAGCAGCAGCAGCAGCAGCAGCAGCACCAGCAGCAATTCTCCTCCTTAGGATTATCTCTTATAGCAAGAGCAGCTGTATCTATGAATATAAAAGGAAAGAAGTTATGGTTATGCATGCAAGCGCATGCAGCCCCAAGGGCCCCATACATGCAACTAGATATACTTTGCTGCTTGCTGCGTAGTGTCTCCTTAGGTTGTCCTGCTGCTGCTGTGTCTCTTTTATTTATTCGTGCTGCTGCTGCACGTATACGTATAGATATATTATATTTATCTCCTGCTGCTGTTGCTGCTGCTGCTGTCTCCTTAGATAAGATAAGATATAGGGACACTAAGCTGCTGCTGCCTATATCTAAGTTGCTGCTGCAGCACAGCAGCAAAATAAATAATAAATATTTATCTTCTTCTTTTCTTGCATTAATTAAGTTATCTTTTATTAATAATAAGGTGTATATACACCTCAATAAAGAATTATATAAAAGAATACATACTATTAATCAGCAAGAAGCAGCAAATATATTATATGCATTGCTCCTCCTATATAACCAGCAGTACATGAGGGAGCAGCAGCAGCAGCAGCAGCAGCAGCAGCAGCAAGTGCAGCAGCAGCAGGAGGGAGAGGAAGAGGAAGAGGAAGAGGAAGAGGGAGATGAGCAGGAGGTAACATCAATAGATCAAGAACAACAACCCCACCATGAGTACCACCAGCAACAGCAGCAGCAGCAGCAGCAGCAGCAGCAGCAGCAGCAGCAGCAGCACAAGAAGAAGAAGAAGAAGCAGCAGCAGAAGGAAGATGATGAAGTATTAGACATAAGATTATTTGATGGTTTGCTGCTAGGTGTGCTGCATGTGCTGCAGCAGCAGCAGCAGCAGCTAACAGCAGCAAGTATACACCGTATACAATTATTATATATATATTTATATAAAAAAAGAAGAGATATATATGTGTCTCTTCCTGCAGCAACTGTCTCCTTTTTATCTCGTGTATATTCTGTCTCCTTACCTACCTCAGCAAGTAAGAATACTCCTGCTGCTGCTGCTGCAGCAGCAGCAGCAGCAGCACCAGGAGGAGGAGGAAGAAAAGACAGGTGTCTCCTTTTATCCTCTATACTACATAGATCTATATCTTCTTGTCTTGCTGCTGCTGCTGTCCCTCATGTTAATGAGGTATTAATAGGCCCTTTTTTTATAGATATATTATTGTCTCCTTATTTATATATAAATATACAGGGACCTAATCATTATTATATAAATACATATATGCTAACAGCAGCAACACAATTAAATAAATGTCTCCTTTTTTTTCTTGGTTATATACCTATTACTGTCTCCTTTTATACATGGCAATTATTACCTAATAAATTATATAAAATATTATTCCTTACACAACTTATACAACAATATATACCCAAGCAGCAGCAGCAGCAGCAGCAGCAGCAACTCATGATTATGCTCCAGCAACATCAACAGCAACAGCAGCAGCAACAACAGCAGCAGCAGCAAGACCAGGAACAACAACAGCAACTGTGGGACGAAGAGGTGCAACAGCAGCAACAGCAACAGCAACAGCAACA